AGACAGATAATATTGAAATACAAAAATACAAGCTATGCTAATTTGATGCTACAAACAAATTGGTTTTTGGATAAACATATAGCAAAATAATATATCTATATACATAATATGTAATGCAAAACTAAAACCATAAAACGAAATACTATAAGAAAATGCGTTATATGCGCTAATACTAAATTTTTGATAAAAATTTATATAAAGTTTATATTATAAATGCATTACACTTCGGTTCGACTTCGGCACACATCTATTTTTAAATTATTTTTAAGCTTACATTGGCAATATTACACGTTCTTAGATTTTATATAGCGGTTCCTATAGAATCTGTAGAATAAGAACAGATTTATTATCAAATTTCCAATGAAAACAGGTCCGAAAACACTTGGTACTAGACAACTCGGGAATAATATTTGAACTAACAATAAGTAAATTATCAGTACGGTGAATTGTACCTCTTTGAATAGAAATCGGACAGTTTATTAAATAATTCGTTACACACATACACACACACAAAATCCATTTTTACATATTATTTTTTCTTCTTCTGTGTGTGTGTGTGTATGTATATTTATATGTATTTATATATTCACGAACATACGAATACGTTTCGCGAACATCTCGATGACAAATTCTATATGTCAATTTGCCATTTGTAGAATAGTTATGGATGGCTTTATCGGATTAATCACTTTCCGTATAGTCGGTCCAAATGTAACAAGCAAATAGTAAGTGTACAGAGCAATTGAGTAAAGTGATAAAAGTCGTCATTCCACTAGCAACGTACTTTATGTAAATCCAGCTAAACACACAATTGGGCTGGGTAAACACACAAAATGGTGATACACGTGTAGAAACGAGATCTAGTTGTATTTCTTTTTGAGCACGTATATGCCTGTTTCGATGAGGTCGGCCAGCTTTAAGAGCAATAACCACTACATAATCGTAGACAACTATAAGAATCCGTATAATTTGTTAAATGTTTATGATTTATTTATAACATATATATAATTTATAAGTAGATGTGTGTGAGATTCATACACATGTAATCGTTTTCCATTATTCAATGGATTTTACTCTTTAGCATTATGCGACGAATCTCGTTATCTGACTCTGAATAAAAAATCTTATCAGGAGCAAATCACATAAAAACTTTTTAAAACGGATAATGTGTAATTAATAATTGAAACTGTGAGTAAACTGATAAGATGTCTGATTAAACATGTACATTGAATTATTGATTTTAAATTTTCACATTAGAGATACATAATTAACAACATACAATTCTGTAAGGGCCAGGCTTGTGTGAATAATCAACCGACATGCAAGTTAAAGGTATTTCCGTAAACCAACCCGCGGCGATATGTTCGATAGCAGTTAATAGAAACGGTATTTGATATATAGAATTGATAGCCAATTGTTTGTTCTTTGATCTGAAAACTCAAATACAGATTTACAATATGCAGTCTTATTAGTTGATAATCTTATTAGATAAAAACTATTCGGTGAAGAGATGTTTTTTGATTCTAAACTCACTTTAAACAATTTTGATATATCGTAGAAATAATATCTAGCTAATATTATTTCTTAAATAAATTATATTTCTTTTAAAAAAAATATTTTAAGTACCTTCAGTTTTTTTACTGTTATGCATTCGTCGATAACTAGAATGACAAGAGAGAAAATGACTGTCATTCCGATGTTTTATATACTCATACTCACACCGGCCATTTCTGTCCAGTAATAATGAAATGCTTTTAACAACATCATCATGACGGACATAGATTTAATATTTATAACGTGACAATGCACTCAATAATCGATTATCATTGAAATCTTTCAAAATATTTTAAACCGGTCAAATCTTCAACAACAACGACATATACGATTTTACACTCACTTTATATGTATATTTATACCCTTTATTTATACGGTACACTTTGTACTATTATATATTATTCGGCATTTTAAATACGCCGAAACCGTGAAGACGAATATGTCAGGCGTCCAAAACGTTTGTATCCATTCTACTCTTTTTAACATTAATTGTTAATTACAATTTATTATTAATAATAGAATGTTTACTTTATTCGCAAAAACTATGCAATATCGTGGTACTTAAATGCAATAGGGAATTATATGCCATGTATATACGAAATATTAAGACATTAATAGTACAATTGCGTTATCATAATCGTTATATATAAAAAAATTTAGATTTTTAATTAGACTTGAGATATTACGTCTTATAAGTTAGCGGAACAGAATGAGCAGAATCAATTCTAATTAATATTTTTATTTGTTGCTCATTTGTTGCTGATATTTGTAATCGAATTTGCATCAATCATCTTCAAAAAAATGAAAACGCTTTCAAATATTTTGTTTCTAGAATTCGTATAATGCAAGTTTATATATATAAATTGCATATGTGACATACATTTCATAAAAATTATATAAAAAGTAATAACAGTTTTGTATAAAAAAAAATATTTTATATTTTTATTTAAAAAATATATTATTAAATTCATTGACAAAATATCCATTGTATTTTGTGAAACTACTAGTACACTATATATATATATGCAGGAATTTATTTCATAACAAAACATGCAGATAAACACATTCAAATAATCAATCTTTCTTCAATTTTTATCATTTAACCTTATTCAAATACAAAGCAATTTATTTCCATGCTCTTTTCTGAAGAATTGTAAATTCTTAGCATTTACATTTAACGCCAAGTTATACCTTAACCGAATAAACAACTTTTATTTTACTATCATTTCTTTTAATATTTCTTCTTTCTATAATTTTTTTTTATAGAATTTCTTCTATAGAAATCGTAAAAAAAAATATCAATTTATTAATAAATTTATTGTAAAGGGAGAATTAAATTTCAGGACGAAGCAAGAAGATCTCGAGAAGCGAGATAATCAGAAGATTTGCATAGAGTATAGAACATTATTAATTCGACGAATTACAACCATAACGAAAACTGTCAATTTATCATTTGCATGACGGTTACGAAGCACTTCTCAAGGTTTCTTTTAGCACAACATGTAGTAGATAGTATACATATACATATACAAATGCAAAAAAAAGAATATATGTTTATCTATTTTTTCAGACAAAGAATCATCTTCATCAGATTTATTATCTTTAAAATATTATCACATGGGCATATTACAAAATTTTATGCAAAAATAAATTAATGATTATTATCATAAACTAATTGTGTATATTTTGTGTCAACGGTTAGACGGCATTTTTTATTACGAAAAATAATTTGTAAAATGCTTAATTACGAATCAGTAGTTATCTTTATAGACGGAATATTCAATAAGAAAGAAAATATCAAAAGTTTAAAAGTACCTCCTTTTTTAACATTGATTGATTTAAATAATATTTTATTATTTATTTTATATTGTATATTTATTATGTATTATGTTTAATTAAAAATATATATTTTTAGTTATTTATTAATCTATCTTTTATTTCTCAATAACTGCATTGAATTCAAATGAGAAAAAGTAACTCTCCAGAAGTTTGTTCCCCCTCCCCCCCTGTACATACTTTCGAGATAAGTACTGAGACGGAAGCGAAAACTTTTTGCCACTAAGGAGCTATCCAGACTACGACTTGAAAGTAGTAAAGTCTGCAATATTGCAGAAAGATATATTAAGCATGGCTAATCGAGCTTCTCCATAATCGATTGAGCGAAAAGAGTCTCACCAAAGCAAAATGCTTAAACCCATTCAATTCAGCGATCCCTCAAGAACGTCTCGCTTGTAAGCACAATTTTTTTTTTTTACCTCGCGTCTTACGAAAACTTGTCTAGTCGCGACGAAAACACTGCTCTCGAACGTAATTTACACCATGGCGTAGTCGATTGGGCGTCGTCGTATATCGATGGGAGGGCAAGTATCGAGGGCTGTCGCCGACAAGCCCGTCCTCGGGACTGCACGAGTCGGATTTTCCCTCGTATATCGTTTTTCGCTTGTGTATATCAATGTGTTGCTTTTTTTTCTTTCAATCGCCAGGTAGAAAAAGAGGTCATCCGATAGATTGAGCTCGTCCGCTTCAACATGAACATCCATATTCTTTGCCAGGTTGGCGCCGCTTGCACCGTGAACCATGTATACAGAGTATCGGATAGTAGCATTTGGTAAACGAGAAGCGATGTTTCCGCGAAGACTGAAGTAAGTTTTTTTCCGTATCAGAGTTTAATCAAACGTTGTCAATAAATCTTTCCCGTAGATACAAAGCTTTAACGTCTAATGTCATATCAATTGACCATAAAAAGATAAGAATCCGTTAAAGAAAATAATATATAACTTAAATATATCATAAATAGTATTTAAATATATTCGAAAATTAAGAAAAATGAATTTCTTTCAGGCTCTTACGTGTTTAGATGAATAAGCAAAAAAATGGTTTGTAATTGCAGCAATATTTTCGAAACTGCTCTCGAAGTAATTAAACGGTCGAGTGTGATTCATTTTCGGGACCGCCGCGCTATTTCGTCGATGCGTCGCCGCCGCAATGAAGTTTCCCTCGCGAGATATATTGTAGTTACCGGTGCAACATTAACGGCACGGCCTTCCCATCGCGGAAGCGAGGCGACGTCACAGAACAGCAGAGGAACACGGAAGAAAAGGCGGAATTCCGGCGCCAACCGGGATCCGGTGATAATTTGTCGCGGGATTACCATCGTCGTCCGAGGGCGCGTAAAATAATAGTGCGCGTTTAATATGAAATAAATACGAGCCCCCTCTTTCTCTCTCGCTCGGCGACTCGGGAGGGGAGATAATACCAGCGCGCGGCGTGACTGAGAACTGACACGATGTATACTGGGTGTAAGTAAACAAACGCATATGGACAAATAATATATAAGTAATGTTGAATCTCATCTTATGTTCAGCTAAAATAGAATTCTCTGATTACCCGATAGATTAAGATTGAATTTTGTTGTAATTTATTTTAATTTTCTGCATATATGCGTTACTCTTATGCGTTACGTATGAATTATATTGACATTGTATTGACACTATAACACAGCGATCGACGTTAGATCATATAATAGAAAATTTATATTCTTGCATACGGAATCAAGATCAAAGTTCATAATAGCACAGGGTATAAGTACAATAAAATAAAAATTGCGTGCCAGATGACTGTGTGTATTACATGATTATGTGTCATCGATTTTGATCGTTAAGTCTCGATACTGAAACTTTACAATATAAATTACGATAAATAATACTAGCCAAACGGTGAAATTTTATCATAAAGCAAAATCTAACAGACAAGATTATTAAACAAAGTTCGACAAACAAAATTGCCGATCTATTATGGATTTCTTGCAAGAAGTTCAACGTTTATGGACAGACCAGCTTGGTAAGAATATTGTTTAAAGCCATTATAATATATTAACTTGAAATTTAACGATAATTAATAAATATTTTCAATTCTATTAATATATATTAATATATATTAATCAAGATCAACATTTAAATTCTACATTTCTACAAATATGATCTAACTCGCAGGCTCAGATGTTACCGTAGTATATCTATTATGCTCTACATACGCTGAAGTATGTAGAAATGTAGAATTTAAATGTTGATCTAACTGCATGGTTTTTTCATGATCTGTTTGCCCATAATTCAATATATTAACTTAATTTTCAGATCCACGAGTAGCTGATTTTCCTTTAATCCAATCTTCTTATTATGTGCCACTTATAATATTCGCGTATCTGTATTTCGTACTCAGGTGTGGGCCTCGATTTATGAAGAATAGGCAGCCATATTCACTGAAAACGTTTATAAAGTTGTATAATATTATACAAATTGTGGCAAACACTTGGTTGTTTTATGACTACATCGATGCCGGTGTGTTCAAAAGTTCAAATTTAGTGTGTTCCCAAGTTCTTGATTTCTCCTACGATTATATTCCAATGAAGGTAATAACTTACATATAAAACATAGAAAAGAATATATATATCATTGACAGATGTCTATTTAAAGTCTAATCTTGAAAGAAATTCAGTACGCATTTGTCTGTATTAAATATAACTTTGTGTTATACACTACTAAAAAAAAAAAAAAGAAAAGAAAAGAAAAGAAATAGGGAACACTTTTCATACCCTAAACATTTGATTATTTTTGGAACTATTTTCGAAACAAAAAATTACAAAAGCATTTTGAAGCTTGAAGTTTTAACTTCAACACGCTATCAATAGTTTAAAAAAATTTTTTTATCTTTCTTATTCTGTGTTTTAAAAAAGAACATATTGTTTTGTTCCTTAAAATTATATGTTTTTAACACTCTGCAGCTCAATAACAAAATTTCTTGTAGGCAAAATGTTGTAGTTTATGGAATTTGAGTTGAATTTTTCGAGAGAAATTTTTTATCGAACTGCAGAGTGTCAAAAATACGTAATTTTAAGGAAAAAAACGATGTGTTCTTTTTTAAAGCACAGAACAAGAAAGATAAACAAATTTTTTTAAACCACCGATAGCCTGTTAAAGTTGAAACTTCAAGCTTCAAAATGCTTTTTTAATTTTTTGTCTACGATGATTTTTTGTTTCAACGATTTGAAAATAGCTCAATTTTTAGGATATGAAAAGTGTTCCCTATTTGTTTTGAGCAGTGTATTTTCGTTAAAATAAAACAACTCGGTAAGTCTTCGGCTAAGTTTTATTTGAAAAACAATAGCGCAAAAAAAAAAAGAAATGTTAATGGTATACATTTTTATATATCAAAGTATTCTTATTTTAATAAATGAATATGTATGTCAACACATATATTATATGTATATATAATGTCATAATTACGCTATTTATCACTTACTATACTCATACATATTCGTTTTGTAAAATAATATACAATGCAAATTAATTAATACATCTGAATGTTATATTGCAGTTATATAAGGCCACATTTTATTATTTTCTGTTGAAAATCTTGGATTACGTCGAAACAGCCATATTCGTATTAAGGAAGAAAAATAATCAGGTGTCTGGTTTACATTTATACCATCATATATCTACCTTACTTCTCGCATGGATTGCTACAAGATATTTCGCTTTTGGTCCCACACTATTCAATTTCGCGCTGAACAGTTTCATACATGTGATAATGTACACCTACTACTTCCTAGCAGCTTACGGGCCAAACATTCAAAAGGCTATAGCACCTATGAAACAGTGGATAACTATAGCACAAATGGTAAATGCTGCCAATTTTTTCTGCACATTTTTTATGTGGAATAATCTGTCATTTCTATTCTCTTCAAATTACCTTATTTACTCATGTTTAATTAATATCCATAATATATTATCCATAATATTATCCATAAATCTCATTACATATATTCGTATACTATATAAATATATATATTTTTTATCTTTAAAAATCTCCCTAAAAACATCATCCACCAAAGTTAATGATATATTTGTAATGTTTTCTTTATATTGTAGGTGCAATTCGTCATACTGATAATATATGTTTCGCAGAACTTTCTGCCAGGTTGCAAGATAGTGACGCATTGGGTGGTCATAATATACATCGGAAATTTAATGATGAATTTCTATCTGTTTTATAATTTCTATCAAAAGGCATACAATAAACCTAAGAGGAAAATCTAATAGATAGTGAGATATATGCAAATTCGAAAAGCATCGATTATTGTTTGTTTTTACAATCGAATGTTTGTATCGTAAACTTATCGGGATCAAAAAACGTTATTTTTCGCTCGCTTTCTCACCTTAACGTCATTATACGATAAATGTAAATAATAAAAAGAGCAGCGCAGAACACAAAGTTTATTTTATCGATAATCAGCTAATGCACAATACTAATGAACAAATTTATAGTATGAACATTCGATTGTATGGTAAATGCTGCCAATTTTTTCTGCACATTTTTTATGTGGAATAATCTGTCATTTCTATTCTCTTCAAATTACCTTTTTTACTCATGTTTAATTAATATTCATAATATATTATCCATAATATTATCCATAAATCTCAATACATGTATATTCGTATACTATATAAATATATATATTTTATATCTTTAAAAATCTCCCTAAAAACATCATCCACCAAAGTTAATGATATATTTGTAATGTTTTCTTTATATTGTAGGTGCAATTCGTCATACTGATAATATATGCTTCGCAGAACTTTCTGCCAGGTTGCAAGGTAGTGAAGCATTGGTTGGCCATAATATATATCGGAAATTTAATGATAAATTTCTATCTGTTTTATAATTTCTATCAAAAGGCATACAATAAACCTAAGAGGAAAATCTAATAGATAGTGAGATATACGCAAATTCGAAAAGCATCGATTATTGTTTGTTTTTACAATCGAATGTTTGTATCGTAAACTTATCGGGATCAAAAAACGTTATTTTTCGCTCGCTTTCTCACCTTAACGTCATTATACGATAAATGTAAATAATAAAAAGAGCAGCGCAGAACACAAAGTTTATTTTATCGATAATCAGCTAATGCACAATACTAATGAACAAATTTATAATATAAACATTCGATTGTATGCATATAGTAGAATACTGATATTTTTTTCATTTATAAATATATAAAATGTAAATTTAGAAACAAGAAGCTGTTAATAATAATCAATAAATGTCCCAATGTTCCGTTTCGTATACGTTATACAACTCCCTTTGTTAAATATTTTGTAATATAATATATTACATTCTCTAATAAATTTTTAAATTATTTATTCTTTGTTTATATATTTTCTATGATTTGTATACAAAACTATTTCTCTATAGCTGCATATCTAATAATAAACTTAAATATTGTTTTGTTGAATAATATCACGAATTTATTTGATGTTATCTAATATTATCTGTTTGATCACTATCAATATAGTCTGCGTGACAAATTTATATAATTTTATAGTTATATCAACACAGTAAACTTTCTTCCGGCAAATGTGATGTATGTCGGTTGCATATTCTTGTTAACGTAAAGCTTAATCAATTGACACAGTGATATATTTTTAGGTTTATGTTTAAAATATATATATCGCCAGTATCACTTCTTAATACATACTTATTAATACATATTAATAATGGTTTCCAAGTTTAAAAAATTCCTGCTTGCTTTAACTCAAATTCTTATATTACATACACTTTTATTTTCTCTCTTTAATAATATTTAAAGTGAAAAAGCTCAAGATAATATTATCCAATCGAGATGTCATAACGTAAAACAATCTATAATTAACAGTAACAATATGATATTTTCTTCAACGTCGACGTAAACCGACCCGATGGGAGTTCTCGCAAATGTCCCCTAAATGGGAAAATTGATAAGATTATTGCAAATAAACAGAGAACATAGTTTTGGTTGAAATAATTTAATAATAAGTTTATAGTCAAACGCATTCGACAATTGGTCGAGATAATTGAGAAAGCGATCAGCGGAATATAACGACGAGATATCAGACCGAGAAAGAGACGACGAAATCTCCCATCATTGGCATATCAACGAAGCAGCGAGTCAGTGGTCAAAATCGTCACTCTAAGGAAGGACGTGGAACAGTCCACGAGTTTACAATGAAAAGTCTTAGAATCGTTCTCCCGAAGGGTTGGATCACCGCTATTAACCAGATTATTATAGACAAGTTATTGAGAAGAATTTGTTAACTAGAAGCATTATAAAATGATGGAATTATCGAAGACGACACGGTTTATCAGCAATTATCATATGTAAGTTATCATTATTAAACTTATAATTTTGTTTAAGACAATCTTTTCGTTCTACAGAATTTTCCGGTTTCTTATAATTCATTTCCAAGATTCTTCCAACTTCCCACCCCTGAGTTTCTTTCAATATTTATTATATTATTAGTTTTACTAATTTTTCATAAATTAGTTGGCGCCCATCGTTACAGTTTAGTATTAATTATATTGTGAGCCCCAACAGCCACGGACCCGGCCGTGTTAAGTGTGGGCTATTTCTTATTATTTTAACAAATTCAAGTTAATAAAATTATAATAACCAAAAAGAGTAGCCTATCTCATAACAAATATATAATTCATAACAATCTATATTTCTGCTATTTCTTGATATAAATTAACATTTTCTAAAAACAGCATAAAGCAATTAACCACAATAAAATAATGAGAAAAAAACAAAAAGAAGATTTCTTATTTACATGAAATATAGTCAATCGTATAATTTAATAATTACATAAAATCCCCTTCAAGTTAGTTGAAATTATTTTTATTATCAAAGTGTAATTGTTGGGAGTCACGTTTAATCCTACGCTCCTGAGCGCCTAGTTACTTTGGCGGAATGCTGTAGTCAGTTCCAGCAGTGTGCCAGTCGTGCGTAGCAGTATTCCCGATTACTCGTACTAATCAATTCTTTTTCATTTGTGTTCTTTTTAATCCTTTTGTAATAAGTATTTTTTGCTGAGTGCAATAAAAGAATTTATTTGGGTTGTCATCTATACATCGCATCAATGACCTCCTGACATGAATTTCGAGAGCATATGCAACGCACGAGATTCCAACGAAGGCACGACGCATCGAACAGTAATGTTTTTACTCTGGTTATTCAATAAAAACGCATATGGGATATTAATGTTAATAACTTTTAATATTAATTTGGTATAATGTATTATCATCGAAATTTTGATTCCAAATGTCCCTCTGCATCTTATAAATTAATTTATATAATTAATATTTTTGACGTATGTGTGCACAACTTTGCTACAAAAATTGCACATATGCACATACAAGTATCCAATTAATATAATACGTCAAGTTTGTTTATATCGTTTATACCGTTTCTTTATCAATTATATTACAATCAAAAGTCTTTATTCAATATTATTATTCCAATTTATAATAATATTTAGTATATTTTTATTCTATTCCGAAAGATCTGCATTTTTAACTCTTTGGCCCTTATTCTGAGCTCACATTTAGAGGCACATCTAAAGTGCCACATTTAGAGGCGCAGATAAATGTACTAGTAATACGACTAAAGTCAGTCGTATTCTCATCGCACATTTATAGCGCCTCTATCTTAGAGGTACATTTATGATATTAGAGGTACATTTATTTATTTATTTACCATGTTGTATATATATTATGCTTATTACGCGCATAGGGCACTGTGATTGGCCTTCAAACAGTTCATTATATCACGCGCCATAAGTTAAATTACTAAATTTCACTTAGATCTTTCTTTCTACTGCAATATAAAACGCAAACGCGCATATAATTGTAACAACATTCTTTAATTAACCGATATTTTTGTCGGAGCTTGTGATCATTATAAACGTCTTCAAAAACGTCTATTCTATTTCGAAATATCCGCGGGTCACGATTACGCACGGCTTTTATTTTCCAAATTTTTCGATCGCATGATCAATGGCTAATATAATATATATATTATGTAATATATTAATTTGTCTATTAGCAATATATTATATACGTTATAGTAATATATGTATATATTACTATAACATATATATTACTATAACATTATATAATATATTAATTTGTCTATTAGTAATATATTATATACGTTATAGCGTTACCTAACATAGCGTTACGCACGCGATCGCCGGCTCGGCCGTCGAGCCTCGTGCGGTAGTAGGGGACATTAACGCGGAATAGTGTAAGGAAGAGAAGTGATTTCTTTTAATCGATGTCATATCGAGCAAAGTTTGATTACATTAATAAAATTGAGCGAATACTTACAGTAGAGTGAATCTGTGCATTATCAATTATAACATATTTGTGATAAATACATTATTGGAAAATGATTATGAATAAATCGAAGGAATATTTAGAGATTTTGGATGGCCATGTCTTCGATAACGATAAGCTGGTAATTATACGCGCGAACGCGCATTCATGTATTTAATGTTTATTTGTATTTTATATATAAATGTAATTAATGCGTAATTAATATTTTTAGGTTAACTTACAAATGGCTAAAAGCAATGGCCCTTATTCTGAGCTCACATTTAGAGGCACATCTAAAGTGCCACATTTAGAGGCGCAGATAAATATACGGCTAAAGTCAGTCGTATTCTCATCACACATTTATAGCGCCTCTAACTTAGAGGTACATTTATGATTTTAGAGGTACATTTATTTATTTATTTCATGTGTTGTATATATATTATGCTTATTACGCGCATAGGGCACTGTGATTGGCCTTCAAACAGTTATTCATTATATTACGCGCCATAAGTTAAATTAGTAAATTTCACTTCGATTTTTCTTTCGACGCTACTGCAACACAAAACGCAAACGCGCATATAATTGTAACAACATTCTTTAATTAACCGATATTTTTGTCGGAGCTTGTGATCATTATAAACGTCTTCAAAAACGTCTATTCTATTTCGAAATATCCGCGGGTCACGATTACGCACGGCTTTTATTTTCCAAATTTTTCGATCGCATGATCAATGGCTAATATAATATATATATTATGTAATATATTAATTTGTCTATTAGCAATATATTATATACGTTATAGTAATATATGTATATATTACTATAACATATATATTACTATAACATTATATAATATATTAATGTGTCTATTAGTAATATATTATATACGTTATAGCGTTACCTAACATAGCGTTACGCACGCGATCGCCGGCTCGGCCGTCGAGCCTCGAGCGGTAGTAGGGGACCGTAGGCGTCGCTTCACATATCGGCCCGAAAAGGGCAACTATCTCCGAGCACTGACCTAGTTTATAATATATTTTAATACGTAAAATAAATTCTGTCCGATCACAGTCGTTCCATTCTTTAAGAGGAATGGCTATGATTGGCCAGTGTAATACGTATTAAAGTATATTAGTGTAAACTAAGCCATAATTAATAAAAAGAGAATTAATATTTATCGATCGATATTTATTGATATTTATCATTCGAGCCTCTTTTAACTTTTTAATTTTATTATTTATTTTAAGCCATAATCGTCAAATACATCCATGATATTGCAATTGAGTGTGCTCTTTCAAGCTAGTTTTGCTTCAAAGTGCAAGATTCTTCGTCTTAATTAATCCTTCCAAGTGAAAATAGTGTCAAACAAAATGCACTCTTCATTGCACTTTACACAACTATACTTTTAGAAGAAATTTCAGAATTGACCAAATATCATTAATATTGTTATGTAAAAAAGTTATATTATTTACAGAAACTTGATCTGTAATAATTTTATTAATGAAATCAATTGTATAACAGTGATAGAATTAATTAAACTTACGAAGCATCAAGTACAAGCGCCGGTATTACATATAAATGTACGTATAAATGTGCCCTCGGGCACATTTAGTGGTACGTTTATCGAGAATGGCATAAATGTGCTATAAATGTGGTTTAGAATACGATTTTCACTATAAAGTTGCGCATTTAAGATATATTTACATACAAATTTAAATTCCATGCAAATAATTTGAATTTGAAATGATTGAGAATTTACATTTGTACATGATTGTATAGATTATCATAAATAAAACTTTCAACTTTATTTTCTAGTCAGAAGTATACTAGTAAGAAGCCAATCAGACAGAAATAACTTCAACAGTGAATGTTTAACTTTTTGGATATCGTCGCAGCTAAGTTCTCGTTAAGTTCTCTTTGCATTAGGTCCTTTTCTTTCTCATAGTGCAAATCAAACACAATCACATAATGGATTTGTCCAAAAGATTTCATTATTATTGGACAGAACTGGCGGGTGAGTTGCGCATTAATATAATGATAGATAAATGATTCGATGTTTTCTGCATTTCTCATGTTAAGATTAGATGATAGAAATATCATTCACGTCATATAGTTATTCAAAGAGCGATTTACTAATTTAAATAATTTATTTATTAAAACAAAGTAAACAAAAAAAAACAAGTCAAAAAGAAAAAAGTCAGTGCATATTTTTCAAAAAACGATATTTCTAACAAAACTTGATTCTAATTTTTCAGATCCACGAACAAACGATTGGGTCCTAATCGATTCGATATACCAAATTCCACTTATAATAATTATATATTTATACGTCATCCTATATTGGGGTCCTCGATTTATGAAGAACAGGCCGCCTTATTCTCTAAAGACATTCATAAAAATTTATAACATTTTTCAAATCATAGCGAACGCTTGGCTAGTGCGAGAACATTTAGCCGCCGGATGGATGAAAGATATACCGTTAACTTGCATGCCTGTTATTTATTCCTACGAACCACATTATTATAAGGTACGCAAATAAATTTTTTTATATATCTTTACACGTACATTATATAATAATATGCTTCTCAAGAACGTGATATAATAATATGCTTCTCAAATACGTCACGCAATAAGATGCACGGATGGTAAATATATCGAAAAGAGGATCCAACCTTGATAACACATATCAAAGTCAAGGTCATCGGTGGTGGGTCCCTTTTTCGGTATGTTTACCAAAATACGGATAATTGATGAATTTTTCAAGATGTACAAATTGTGTATACATTTTTTACAATAACATACGATATATTAATATTCGAAATTTAATTGCAGTATATTCAAATCCTGTGGTGGTTCCTATTGCTAAAAATGATCGATTGCATAGAGACGATAATGTTTATGCTGAGAAAGAAAAATAAACAGATTTCGGCCCTGCATTTATACCATCACGTATCGAGTCTGATGTTTAGTTGGATAACCGTAAAATATCTAGCTGGAGAGATGTCCACGTTCGTCACGTTGGTTAATTGTAGCGTGCATGTAATAATGTATACCTACTATCTTCTCGCGGCATTCGGACCACGTGCTCAAGCGATCATTATGCCGGTCAAATCTTACATCACCATTCTTCAGATGGCAAGTATCATTATTGTAGCCTAATTATATTATAAAAAGAATACTAAGTATATTTAGAAGTTTATTTCAAGTATTATCACGTTTAAAAAATCAGAATAATTAAAAGATTATTTTAAGTATTAGTAAACAAAATAAAAGATAAAAGAAGATATAAAAAGAGAATACAAATATACAGTAGATTTTATGTTTATATTTTAAAAATTTTCCCCTCATTTATTTATGAAAAAATTAAAAAGTATAAAATTTGATGTTGATTTGTTTGTCATATAAATAGGTGCAGTTCTTTGGTTTCATACTCTACACAGTGCAAATTCTTATGCCAAACTGTCATATACCAAGCCTTTTCGGCATTATGTTTTTAATAAATGTGGCAATAAATTGGTTCATGTTCTACAAATTTTATCAAAAGTCGTACGTTTCATCAAAAGTGAAACAATAAAACAGGAAAAAACTAAATAATTACTAAAGAAGAAAAATAATTTTGTTAAAAATATACAATAAAAAAATGTAATAATAATTTATCTATATAAATATTTACGAGTATAAAATTTTTTTTTATAAAATACACTATATATATATAACATAATTTTAATTTACAAATATTATCATCATATATATACTTATTGTAAATTATATTTATTGTATTATATTTACTTTTTCGTTCTTTCATCTTTAACTATCAAAAACGAATAAATTATTGTATAAAACAAATAAATTATTATATGAAACAAATACTTTATTGTATATAAATATATATAAATACGAGTGAAATTTATTGACAATTGCTTGAGAGATTCTGCGCTATTTAAATTTTTAAGAAACAAGACTAAGCTTGACAAGCATTTTGTACGAAAAAATAAATTCGTGTTATATATTCGCATTTCAATTGGATTTATACATAATAGCGTATACAAGTATGTACATAAAATATAAAAATATAACATGTTTAACGTGCAATAGAAGAAGTCTGTCAATTTGGTATTAAAAATAATCAAAAAATAACGATTTAAATAGAGTTCAAATTCCTAAATATAAACGTTTAAATTTCTATTTAAATGTTTAAAACACATCAATCTCGATTCTCTACTTCGCCTTTCACCACTTTCCCCTTTAATTGATACGCGGTATCCACACGTGTATTCTCGGTGTACAAGATATTGCCATTGCGAAGCCGTAGGACAATAAACGTTCTAAAGCGTAAAGTCGAACATATCTTTCTAGTATATTATTTCTGATAAGAGAATAAAAATACAATTCTTCGAAAGTCGTGGTCTTTAACTGAATTATATGATACGTTCAATTGAAACGTGGACTACAGATCAATGTTTCATGAAAGTCTCAGTCTATGTTTCATTTGAGAACGTATCATATATTATTTCTCGGAAATAAATTGATATTTTTCTCAATTTAAATTTAATATTTATGGTTCAGTTAATGGTTTTCTTACACTCTATATACTAAAATGCAATTCTTTGATTTTTTTTCTATATGTATAATCAATAATATAATATAATTGAATAAAAAAGTTATAGATGTGTTTATTATTTTACATCACAGATTATTATATAGGATCCTTGGAAGTTAATAGTTTTTTAACCACTAACGATTTCGGTTTACACTGGGAGCATATTCAGGTGTGTTCGCTACTTGACCTACTTGTGTTGATCTTAAGAAGACCATAATTTTGATGAAGGTAAGCGCAGAGTCGCAAGTCACGATAAAGAAAGAGCCGCAGAAAAGTTAAAAATTTGATGAAGCTTTTGGGAAGGACTTCGTCGACTTATAAAAAAAAGTACTTGGTTTAAATAGGTGATATAGTTTCCAAAAGATACGTTTTATCCCACCATATAGTACTTGAGGATAAAAAAAAGAAATAAACAGACTTAAAAATTTTTTTTTCACTCTTACCTATAAAGTTAAAACGTGTTTGTGCTATTACAATATTATACATTTTGTAAGTGAAAGTTAAGTTTGTGTTATATTTTTTGTATTTAATAAATCTGAATGTTGTATCAACATTTTTTAAATAGCAGTAAGTTCTATTTAAGAAATTTTTAAAACGTATTAGGTTCGCAGCCGGCTTTTGTATCTCAGGGACTGTTATATCGTCTCTACACATTGTACTTCGCCGTGTCTATTGTCTTCGCCAACCAACGGCACGACAGTCAACGTGATGTCTGATGACGGCGACAATGTGACGGTACGTTTCCATAACATAACGCGCTGTCATAGTTTAGTTTCCAGCATAGAAACGAGGAAACTGAAAGCCCTTTTCCCCGCCGCTCCGACCGATTAATAAAATTCAGCTGATGTTTGCGTTATGAACGGTTGAGCGCGCATTTTGATCGTAAAACTCATTTGTAATCGGACATTAGCATGACAGTAATATGACAGTTTCATAGCAGAATTCTAATTATTCAAAAGCACGGACTTAGGAATAGAGGGGCGGAGTCTAAAATCCTAGTTTAGGCAAAGGGGGTGTTATCTAAGGCATGCGGGGGGGAACCGC